TTTTTTTTTTTTTTTTTTTTTATTAAAATAGAAAATAGAAATTGTCAATTTTTTAATTTTAATATTTTTAACTTAATTATCTTGTTATAACTTAATTAATCTTTAAAAAAGTAATGATTAATTAACTACGATAAATTGTTTAATATACCCATATTTATAATCATAATAAACTTATTAATTTGTTTTAGTCAATAAGTCCAAACTCGATCTGATTATTAGATTCAAAGTTTCGACTCATTAAAATATACTCTTTCTTAAATACTAATTACACTATTTATTTAGTTCAAATCATATATAATAAAAATAAAAGATTAAATGAAATAAATATATTTATATTTATACGGTGTGCTCAATGTAGTTAAGGTGAAATATAAACCTAATTAACTGATGATGTACTATATTCTTCATTCTTAATGTATCAGTGGAATTTTTAAAGATTTTTAGTAGAAAAAAAAATCCAAGCATCAATTGCCTGTTAATAAGGCAACATTATTGCATCCAATTATTTATTACTCTCTTTAATTTAGAATTGGTGCAGTTATTTTATTTTAAATAAGTCCCGGTTACTCTTATAACGATGGGTTTTCCCATTTTGGGCCTTTGGTAACCAAGATTTCTGCGTAAGAGTACTCTTGATTCAGTTCTAATACTTGGAATTTTTTCAAAACTAACAAAGTATAAAATTTCTGTGCAGCCTGCAACAAAAAAAATTTACATTAATATTGTCAATTTTTCAAACCTATAAACTAAATTACGAAAAAAAAATATTCAATTGATATAAAACATACCTGTTTACGTGAATTTTTATATGACATCTCTCCTAAGGTTAATCTATCTTTACCATCTAATTTATTTTTAATAACTTGGTACATATGAGCAGCTCTTTTATTAAGGACACGTTCTTCAAATTGCTCATATGTTTCATCAACTTGTTGTTCTTCTTGCTGTAAATTTAAATAAAAATTTAATAATTTAATCAACATAAATTTTTAATGAAAGTAATTTTGTAAATAATGACTTTTTTAAAAATATAAGGTCATCCTGATGTCACACTTATCAAGAGCTTTCATTTGAGTACCCACTTGCATTTTTGATATATTTTTCATATATATATGTATACATATATATATAATATATAAAATATATGAAAAATTGATGTGGGTACTCAAATGAAAGGTCTCGATGAGTGTAACATCAGGATGAGCTTATATCTTCAAAAATATCATTCAGTTAACAAGAAATTTAGTATAGACCGGATAGCTCAAATGGTAGAGTAGCCGACATGTCTTCGGAAGGTTCTGGGTTCGAATCCCAGTCCGAGCTATCTAATAATTTTTTCTCACATATTCTATACACTCACATTAAGAAGTTCCTCTCCACAATCCTTTCTCAATCCTTTCCTATCAAAATATCCTGTTACGTGAATGTTGGAACGCTTCACGTAATAATTATCCGTAACTCCTATTCTTTCCCGCTTCACAGCATTATTTATATTTGTTAAAAAATGTGTTAACAAGATAGCAAAGTCAGTTCTTAATTATTGAGATTTTTCAAGATATAAGCTCATCCCGATGTTACACTCATCAAGAGCTTTCATTTGAGTACCCACATGCATTTTTATACATTTTTCATATATTCATATATATATAAAATATATATATAAAATATATGAAAAATTGATGTGGGTACTCAAATGAAAGGTCTCGATGAGAATAATGTCGCGGTGAGCTTATGTCTCTAAAAATGTCAATAGTTTACAAGAGATACAAGGTCATTTCTTAATTATGTATCTAGAGATAAAGAATTTCCTGGACACAAAATTTTACTTATTCTCTTAATAATATGCATAATTTAAGAAAAATAAATTTTTAATAATTTAATAAAAATTTCCAACTACTTACTGGACCAACAGAGGGAGGAAATTCATAATCTTCATGGTTCCAAGGTGAGGCAGGACCTCTTTCAGAAATACCACCAGGTGTATTTACAGGCGGTTGATTTTCATCGAAGCCCATGTAAGACACCTGAGGTTGCGCTTGGTCATAGCCCATGTTCTCCATCATGGAGTCAGCGGGCTGAAGCGGTTCTTCTCCTAGCAGCGAACTAACATCCGCGGGAGGAATCTGGGGCATCTCCGTAGCCTCCATAGAGGGTTCTATGAGAGGAATAGAAGGCTCTGCAGGTAAAGACACCTCGGACTGCGCTGGAGATTGAGCGGGAGGTGGAATGACCGGTGGTGGAGCGGACAATCGTGTCGGCTCGACAGTCTCCATCGGCGTTTCCTCCATCGGCACTGGAGGAGGTGGTCCCGGCGTTCTCATCGGCTGCACAAGAGGTTCCTCGTCCGCTGGAGCTTTACGTTTGCGGCTCAGCCGCTTTCCAATGGAACTCTGGTCAAAAGAAGCTGGGTCAACATCACCGTCTCGCATCTGCTCCAGCGAAAGGCTGTCGTCATCGCCAGCCATTCTTCCAAAGTCCTCGTGGTCGTACGACTTGCTCGTCAAGTGTCGCTGGTAATTTTTGAACAGTACTCGGGCTGGGATCGGTCTTGCAGGAAGAGCAAATAATTTTTCAACGCCTCCAGTTTCCTTCCAATGCATAAGTCTTTTCGTAGGTGGCGCGAGATCTAATGTTGTCACGATATCGCTGGTATCTGACAATTGTGCTTTCATTTCTTCTCCGGATATATTTTTGACTTCGTCGACGATAAGTTTACGCTTGCGTTTAGCTTTGGTGAAACCTTTTAGAGCTGATGCGTCAACTGGTGCCAAAGCAAAGCTCTCTTCTTCGTCGTGAAGTAACGTCGTTTGTTCGAGATGTCTTGGTGCTTGTTCGATAGCATCAACTGCTGCTTCTTCGGGAATCGTTGGAGGTACAGGTGTAAATCGTCGACTAGCAACACTTGCCCTGCCTGCGATTCCATCAACCTGAAATTTTATTTTATTTTTAAAAAATTGTGATTTAATTTAATAAAATTTCTTAATTTTTTTGATTTTATTTTTTTTAACTTTATTTTTTAATTTGCTAATAAACTTTCTGGATTTTTTATTGTATTATTTAAAATTGTGATTTAATTTATTAAAATTTTTTCATTTTTTTCATTTTATTTGTTTTTTAATTTCTTCATTTTTTGTTGTAATTTAATAATAAAATTCCTTGATTTTTTATTTTATTTTTCAAAAATTTTCTTTTTTGAATTTAAAAGCAAAATTTTTTGATTTTTTATTCTATTATTGAAAATTGTGTTTTAATTTATTAAAATTTCTTAATTGCTTAATTTTTTTGTTTTAATTTAATAATAAAATTCCTTGAATTTCATTCAATAAAAATTACTAAAAAATAATATCAATTAAAGAATAAAATTAAAATTAACAATTACCTGAGTAACAGGAGTCGTAGGACGCGATCCATCGGAACTCATTCCACCCATAGGCGAGGGAGCACCACCAAAATGATCACCCATGTCATCAGAGTCATCGTGTACCGAAGGAGCACCCGGTACAGCAGCCACGGAGTCTTGCTGATCAGTCATATTACTAACTTCAGGCACTGGAACTTCCCCCATGGGCGCTTCATCAAACAAGCCGCCTTCAAACAGTCCTCCTGAAATGATATCCTGGCCCAAATGGCCTCCGAACCCATCATCCCGAATAGGAGTATCAATATCCATCGGCTGTGCCGTGGAAGTACCGGCAATGGGTTCTTTTTCTTTGGGTTCAAGCGCTGCCTCGATACTGGGTCCGTCGCTGAACAACATATGACTCTGGTCCAACTGAGCTTCCATCGTCGAGCCGTGTCTCAGAAGTTCTGGGGGATCCGCGTCGAAACTCATGTCTCCAAAGCCCTGGTCGTGCGTTACCAGGGACAAGTTGCCGTAGTCTTCTCGCATCGTAATTTCTTCAACGCGGGACTGGTTCAAACTGAACTGCGCTTCAATGTCAACGTCCTTCAGCTCCGGCATCGCCGTATCAAAGTCGTGGAACACTTCTGGCAATGTAATAGCTGTCACTGCAGCCTCTCGGTGTTCTTCTGGTAAATCGACCATACCTAGTATAACATTAAAAGTAATAATTAATTACTTGACTATTTTTTAATTTTATTTAAAAAAAAAATTGTTCTGAAAAATTATATTTAGAAGTTTTTAAATTTCTAAATGTCAATTTTTTTAAAATATTAAAATTAGCCGACAATTTTTATTTTTTCTATTTTGTTTAATTAATTAAATTAGAACTAAAAAAAATTATTTTTAAATTGCATTTACAGTTTTTTAAATTTCTTTCAAATTAAATTTCAAAAAAAATTATTTTGTAGTGATTTTTTCAATAAAAAAAATCCTAAAAATTTTTAATGGTCAGCTAACTTTATCGTCATTTTTTATAATAATAAAGTTAGCCGACATTTATTATTTTTTGAATTTGTTTAAATTATTAAATTAGAGCTAAAAAATTTTTTTTTTAATTGCATTTAAAATTTTTCAAATTTTCTTACAAATGAAATTAAAAAAAAAAAAAAAAAAAAATCTAAAAATCTAAAAATTTTTAAAGGTCGACTAACTTTACCGTCATACTTTTTTTCTTATTTTTTTTTGCCATAATTTATTTGTTAAGAAAACACTTAAGATTATTAAATATCTGCCGCTAATTTTTATATACCTGGTCTAAAGGCCATTTTTATTTTAACAAATGCCTCATTACAATCTGCCAACAAGTACTTGGCTTTGCGGGAGTAGATTCTTACTACTCCCAGCAGAAGATGTCCTGATGTTCTCAAAGCCATTTTAACCTAAAAAATAATTTTTTAAATTATCAATTAATTAATAAAAATTATTAAATTAATTAAAAAAATTTAATTACTTTTGGCTGCAAAATTCCATCGACGGATTTTTCAATATTTGTTTCAAAAACATGTGCTTTAGTTAATTTTTTGTCCCAATGAGCCGCCAACCAAATCCTGGCCAACGGGCCCTTTTTGGCCAATACAAAATGTGCATAAAACATGATTGCTTATCTAATTCCAACTAGTTCCTGAAATTAAAAATAAAATAGATTAGTAAAACAAGTACTGATGTATAAATATATTACCAATAACTTGGAATTAACATCAACATACTATTTAAGGCGCTGTCGGGGTTAGTGTTTCAATGTTTATGTTCACAAAGTTACGCAGTATTAAATGAAAAATAAAAAATAAAGACAGCAGATAAACGGAGACCGGTGGGGAAAAAATTCTAACCCATTTGAAAGCCGTATACGTAATCACGAGAAAAACAATTGAATATTTAAAAATATCAATATGGTGTTAGTTGATTTGGACTAAATTTGTCAACAAAAACTTCTAAGATGGCGTCGATACTCAAGTTTTGGCGGTTACAAGTAATACATACCAATAAAAACGTATTATCATCGTAAAATAACCGTTTAAATGTTTATTTTTACTCAGGCAATCGAGTTTCACAATAAATAAACATTTTATAAATAATAAGTTTACAATATCCGGTATTTATTCACATAATTTTCACTATCGCAATATACATACGCAATGAGCGCGTTGGATCGCGTCTTCAGACTGATGTTACGTGCAACTGCTGCCAACCTAAATTTTTTTTTATAACTATAGTGTGAAGTTAGTCGGTGTCCATTTTGAAAAATCCAATTTTTTTCTTTCCTGAAAAATTCTTTTGATTAAAAAAAAAAAAATTTTAAGCCAGGTATTTTTTAATTAATAATATATTGCAATTAACAGCTAGTATTATCAATAAAAAAAATATCAATTAGTTTAAGTACAATAAAAATTAAGTTAGCCGACATTTAAAAATTCTTAGAACTTTTTTTTCATTGAAAAAATTATTGATGCAAAATAATAAAAAAAAATTTTCATTTGTAAAAAACTTGAAAAACTCTCAGTGCAATTTTTAAAAAATATTTTTTAGTTATTATAATTTAATAATTAAAAAAAATTAAACAATTTAAAACGTCGGCTAACTTTATTATTATTTACGTACAGGTAATTAAATTTTGTAAATTTTTAACACTAAAATTACCAGAAATTTGACAATTTTATTTTTCTTTAAAAATAAACTAAATTTACAAAATAATTTTAAAAAATTTCACAATGTTTTAGATCTTGAAATTTTTAAATAAATTTTCCTTACAATTTATTTGTTAAAAAAATAAAAACAGATATTTTCATAAATTTCAGGAAATCTTTTACTTTGCTCACTTCAGGAGCGAGGTTATAAAAAATAACCAACATCTATTTTATAGCGCCCGCTGTTTATAAATAATAATTCTTATCTTATATTTAAAAAAAATTTATAAAACAATTATTAATTAAAAAAAAAATCACTAAAATTTCCAGTTCCAGCTCCAGAAATTCTCTAATAAAATCACCTCTCAACGATGATTAAATAATTGATGGGTAAGTGTTTTATAATTATAATCCAGCATGTCTAAGCAAGTAGTGCCAAAAAAAGTGTACCAATAATTAAATTAACCCCCAGAACAATGATGCTGACACGTCGACTAATTCTCCGGCAAAAACTGCCTCGAATCACCCGAGTGACCTTCACTCGCCACAATTCCTCCGGAGAAGTGCAAACAGAGTACATAGGACAGCTAGAAGTGAGGTTATCCCCACACAAGCCTCTAGCAAAACGCCGCCCGCCTTTCGCCAAGAACCTCTTTTTAGGAAAATACGACACAGAATTTTGCGCTTTTCCCGAGCCGCAGAACTACGACCGGCAAAAGGAGTTCTTCGAGTGGCTGAAACCCATCGAAAATTTAGTAACAAGTAACATCAACCCTGATGCAATCGACAAGAGTGCAAAAATTCCCCAGGATGTAATTGACCAATTAAAAGACCTAGATGTCCTACGAGCCGCTGTTCCAGACGAGTACAAAGGCCTGGGTCTTAATTTCAGCGAAATATCTAAATTAATTGAGACACTCTCTCACGTTCCACCATTAGGAGCTTACCTAGCCAAGCAAGCTCACGCTATTTCTCTGATAGCCAACCACGCCTCGGACATCCAAAAGGAAATTTATCTAACGAGAATAGCAACTGGAGAAATAACTCCTACAGTTTGCATATGCGAGAACACCCAAGTGTCCAATGCAGCTGCTATCCAGTGCTACGCTGAGCGATCAGCTGATGATAAATTCTGGATTTTAAACGGGTCTAAAACCTTCGTAGCAAATGCAGAAAATTCTAATTTATTTTTAGTCTTTGCTGATTATTACGAGCAGGGCAGAAACTTTAAACCCGAGGACCGAGTTACTGCTTTTTTAGTCGAAAAAGATTTCGGAGGGATCACCGTGCATGAGCCTGTCGACACAATGGGCCTCAGAGGATACACTTTAAGCCAGGTGACCTTCAAAGACACTCAAGTGCCTATTAACAACGTTGTTGGAGAATTAGGCTCAGCTTCCGAGCTCTTTGGAAATATTTTTAGTGAGGGTAAAGAATTTATCGGGAGCCAAGCGATTGGTTTGACGAAAAACTTCCTCGAGCTGCTGATAAAAAGTCTCAAGTCCGACCCGGACTTCAACGCGACCACGTTTAAGAATGAAACTGTCCAGGAAGTTGTTGGAAAAATATCCTGCAGTATCTTCGCGATGGAGAGTGTCGTTTATATGACCACCGGGATGATTGATACCTTTGCGAATCAAGATTGCGACGTGGAGAAGTGTATTGTAGAATATTTCTGCAATGAAACTTGCATCCAGAGTCTTCTAACTGGAGTACCGCTGCTGGGGTCTTCGTCTTTTATTAGAGGCTCGGGAATTGAGCGATTGCTGAGAGACGCAATGTGTCTCACTAGCTTTGATGGGTCGGTGCTTAATACTAAAGCTGCGATTGCGCTTCAGGGGGTGCAGTTCAACGGCAGGCAGACTCATGAGACAGTGAGAGTCAAGAGGAACCCTCCGATGTTCCCTAAAAAGGTTCTGGAGATGATGCTCAAGTTAAAGAAGGACAAGAGCTTGTACATTGCTGATAATATGCATCCGACTCTCATGCACTCGGCGACGCTACTCGAGCAGACGATTCTTAAGTTTGAGAAGGTCATTGCGACTATTCTTATCCGCCATGGCTTTGAAGTCACAGATAAACAGATGGATCTCTGTAGGATTGCTGATGTTGCTTCTTATTTGTATGTTATGGCTGCTATTCTTGCTCGCTCGTCCAGGTCTTATTGTTTGGGGCTTAGAGACAGCGAGCTGGAGCTCAAGATGGCGCAAATTCATGCGTATATTCTGTACCAAAAAGCTCAGGTGCTGGTTGATGAATTGGAGCATGGGGACTGGATTAATGGAGATTACTTGATCAAGGAAATTGCTGATACTGCTTTTGAGAAGAACAAGTTCTTTGTTGAACATCCTCTTGCTAGAGCTTTCTAATTAAATTCATTAATTAAGTTATATAATTAAATTTATAATGCATTTTTTTTTTTTTGACATTCTGTAGTATAATATGTAAATAGATTACGGAAGAATAAATGTAACGATATGTTTATTGGTAGTAATGGTTATATTTTATTTGATGATAATAATAATAATATAGATTTATTTTAATTAATTAATTTATAGTCTTTCGCAGCCGGCGAACAACAATTGAGTATCACTAGAGCCGGCGAGAAGACTATTAATATCTGATATACGCCCAAGATAAATTAGTATTGAAATGCGAATAATAATCTACTTAATATTTAAATTTATTATTGTTATTTTAATATTTTATTTGTATAGAATTCTCAAAAAAGCATCACTAGTTAAAATTGTATTTCTAAAATACAAATATGGATGACTTGATTCAGCTATTTACATTTAAAATCTTAAATTATTGATAAATCAATCGTCAAAGCTAACAGTAGAGCAGTTGCGATTTATCAAATAAATTTTAGCGTAAATTTGAACTTTCGGTATATTAAATATTATATTTAATATATATATATATATATATATATATATCTAATGGAAATAAATTTGATAAAAATAAAGATGAGAGCTGTATATCTAATTGAGCGGACGGAAGTCTGCGACAGTTGACGAAAAATAAATGCTAATTTATCATTATGGAATTATCGAGTTGGAATATTGACTAATCAATTGTTAATTATTAAGTAATTAATTATTATATATATAATATCATTAGGGTGTGCCAAAATTCAATTTCTGTGAAGAACCTTTCAAAATTGGAATTTTAAGTTTCGCTGAAATTTCAAATTTTGGCTGGAAGTGTCCAACTAAAGCTTCTGTTAAAAATTCTATGAAAATCAAGTAAATCGTTTCACCCCAAAATATCTTAGGAAATGCCCAAACACAGCTCTTACTAAAATCGAAACTCAAAATTCCAATTTTAAAAGATTCTTCACGGAAGTTGAATTTTGGGACACCCTAATATATCATACATATTTAATATTTAAATATATATATTTTGGCTTAATCACTCTTAAGATTCGGCTTGAACGATCACATATTCTTCTTTGTACGTATCGTTAGCAGACCAGCAGCTGGCTGAACACGTAAAAATTAACACTGTGCCAAATTCTATCTCATAGTCACGATCTCTGCATGGCACAAGTTTTAATTTAGGTATTATTGTTGACAAAATTTGTAACTCAAAAATTCTTTCAGCTCCGCAATTCTTGCATGGTTCTATATTCCATCTTATCGGAGATAATAATAATGCTGCTGAGTTATCACGGCAATATCTAAAAATTTAATAATTACATTTTTTATTAAGATTAAGATTGAATTTTTTAAATAAATTATAATTAAAAATTAATATTGTGTCTTAAATTAAGGACGCAAGATACACTAAAATTGATGAGGACTATTTTTATAGAAAATTTTATTTTCTATAAAAAAAAAAAAAGTACTCTCATCATTTTATCATGTCTTCAATATTTAAGGCCGTATTTAAATTTCAAATAAAAAATTTAAATAGTTTAAATTAAACTAGGATTCAATTTTTTAAATAAATTATAAATTAAAAATTAATATCATGTCTTAAGCACACAAGATATAAAAAAAAATGATAAGGACCATTTTTGTAGATAATTAAATTTTCTATCAAAAAAGAGCTCATCATTTTTTCATAGCTTAAATATTTAACCCGTAATTTAAATTTCAAATAAAAAAAACTCGAATAATTGATATTAAATTAAGATTGAATTTTCAAAATGAATTATAATTAAAAATTAATATTGAATCTTAAGGACGCAAGACAGAAAAAAAAAAAAATGATCCTTATCATTTTATAGTAAATTAAATTTTCTATGAAAAGTACTTTGATCATTTTTTCATTTCATGAATATTAAATCCATAATTTAAATTTCAAATAAAAAACTCTAATACTTGATAATAAGTAAATAAAAATTGAATTTTTTAAATAAATTATAATTAAAAATTAATATTGTGCCTTAAGGACGCAAGATACAAAAAAAAATAGATAAAAAAATTATTCTTATTTTTTTTTTTTTTTTTCGTATCTTCAATATTTAAGACGTAATTAATAATAAAAATAAAAATAAAATAATAATAATAACAAACCTTAATAATTGTCCAGGATTTCTCTTAACCCGACAGTCAAAATTATGAAACATTTCATCGCCATGTTTAGGAATACTTTTTTCATACTTTTCTTCCATGCCTGTATTATCATTAGTCTGGGCATCCTGATTAGTCTCCTCATTCAAATCATTAGGATTATTTTTCTTATACTGAAGATATAAATCCCTAACATGCTGATTGACTTCCGGCGTCAAATCCTCTTCCTCGACCCCGACAAACATCTCAGCGAAGGTGAGATCAAACGGAGCATCAATATCAGAGTGCTGGAACGGATGAGGAGTGCTGCCATTGAACAGCTCCATCAGGTTGGACTGTGGGCGAGTTGGAGTGTCAATAGAGACAACCTCGCCCTCCTCTCCCTCGATTTCAGCAGAGGCTTGAGGAGAATCGAGTCTGCCGACTGCACCACCTACGGGAGACTCGACACTGGCTGGACTGTTGGCATTCGGGTCGTCAACTCGCAGGTTTGACAAATCGTCATTCAGCTCGCCGATTGACGTGGACATAAAGAGATGCAACTTGTCGGTGTCATTGCTGAGCATGTTGTTGCCGTTCTTCTCAGATACGTTGTCATTCCCGTCATCGCCCCAGTCGTCCGCTTGCGACAGCCAACTGGTCGTCGGCGGGACCACTGATGGCTGCTTCAATGTCTCGTTTATGGTCTTCTCCTCCAAGGACTCCACTCTCAGACACGTCCAGCTCTCGTTTTGATTGAAGCAGTTTGGATTTATACATGTAAATATATACAATGTTCTATGGTACTTTGAATTTTCTAATGGTGCATAAATTTGTACTACTAATAATTGATTTAGTCCACATAGTTTACAAACTGGCGACGGTAATGTACTTTCTGTTTTATGTGTGTCCTATTTAACAAAAAAAATAAATTTATAATTTTATTATTAAATGAAAATAAATTTAGCAGATATTTAATAATTTTTTTTTTTTTTTTTTTTTTTTAAATTATGGCAAAAAAAATTAGAAAAAAAATATTGACGTAGAAATTTTAAAAAATAATAAATGCAATTTTTTAAGGTAATTTTTTTGCACAAATTTGTTTGTTAAAACAAATTTTAAATGGTCAAGTGACTCCTAACTTTAATGTCATAATTTGTTTTATTTTTTTTAACAAATAAATTTGTTCCAAAAAATTATTTTAAAAAATTGCATTTTTAATTTTTTAAAATTTCTATATGTCAACTTTTTTTTTTTCCATAATTTATTGATTATAAAAATTTATAAAAGTATATCAAATATCTTCTTAATGAATTCTCATCAAATTTGTTTATTAAATAAAATTAAAAAATTGTCAAGTGACTAATAACTTTTACTATCAAATTTTTTAATTTTTAATTTTATAACAAATAAATTACAATAATAATAATAATAATAATAACAATAAAAGACACTGAAGTTGTCAGACATTAAAAATTGTACCTATTGCAATTAAATTATTGTAAAAGAAATTCCAAGTATGAAAATAAAAAACAATTTTTATTATTGTAATTTATTTTTTAGAATTCTAAAAATTGACAGCAGTCAGCTGACTTCAGTATTGTTAATAAAAATATTTAAAAAATTTCCACTAATTTTTTTTTCATAATAATTTTAATTATAAAAAAAATTTTCTAATAACTGTCAACTTCATTGTCATAATAATAATAATAATTATTATTATTAGATAAAAAAAAATTTTATTTATTAAATTAACTCACCGGTTTACCACCAATCTTATTAGTGGCAAAATTAATAAGCGATCGATGTTTTTCAGTTATATATTCATCTTCATAACCCAATTGTACTCTTGATTTATATTTATAAGCCATTTGATCACAATAATTGTTACTCTTAACAAAAAACTAACTTCTGATCGTTAAATAAGCATCCACGTTGAAATAAACAATTAGCTCACTCGAGTGGATGCTGAAAACTCAAACAAAAACCCAGAACTAAGCAATGCACGTTGATCGCTCCAAAATGAACTGCGCACGCGCTCACCTGGTAACTCTATTGATTTTTCCAGCTAAATATTTACAAAATTAATTAATTAACTGAGGAAATTAAATTAATGGTCCAAGTCCGAATTATAAATTAATTACCCGCTAACTTTCTATTTATAAGTTTGTAATATTCCTTCAAAAAGAATTAAAATATAATTGCAAACTACTTTATCGGCTTTGTCGCAACTAGATATATATGATTTTATGTAACTTTATTTTTACAACTAGATACAAATTATTTATATCCGATATTGTTTGGATTTTTTTTTTATTTAAATAATTTTTTTCTTCTATAAATAATTCTAAACAACCATCTCAACGGGCGTCGGTGGCTTTGGTTTATCGAACTCGTTAACTTGCTGCATGTAGTACTCGTATGCACTGAACAATTTCATCTCCCAGTGCATACGCGATGCCATTTTCATTGGCTGGACTCCTAGGTCCGCTAGTGTTGGAAGATGAGCTTCGACAACATCTGAGTGACTTTCCTATAAAAAAAAAAAAAAAATAATAAAAGATTCAACGAATTAATTTAAAAATAAACTCCCAAAGTTATTATATAAAAATGAACCTTTTCTAAACCCTCCCAGTGCAAGTAACCCAGAGGATGATTCACAGAGATCTCAGCCAGAGAAACTTTCAATTTAAACAAATGAGATTTTTCTAAATCAAATCTCTGGTGTCCATATTCAACTGGATCAATACGAATGTAAGCTTGCATCCAGTCAACAATGTCGCCCAATTTAAAGCGTTCTGGTCTGAAAATTAAGTTTAATCATTAATTTTATCAATATAAACTAGCTATCTTGCGGTCACTATATAAATTATAAATAAATAAAATTTTGCTCTTTAAATAATGACTGATATAAGCTCATCCCGATGTTACAGATGTGGGTACTCAAATGAAAGGTCTTGACGAGTGTAATGTCGGGATGAGCTTATATCTTTAAAAATGTCAATGGTTCACGAAATAAAAGGTCATTTCTGAATTATGTATCTAGAGATGGATCAAGCAAGACCTTTGCTATTCTGGACACAAAATTTTTCTTATTTTCTTAATAATATAGATAAATAAGGTGTTAAAAGTTAAACCTACCCAACAAATTGATAAATTTTGCCAGCAGTTGATGGATCTTTAACTATGGCAGCAATACCGCCTCCGAAATCACCAGCCCACAGTGGTTGTTTTATTATTTTCTCACCTTTTCCGACAATTGGAGTTCCTCTGCAATGAAAATAAATAAAATAGTTCAATAATAAATAAATAAATATTATATAAAAAATTTTTATTACCGGAAAAATTTTCTCCATTTACTGGCCAAAGCATTGAAAAATCGATCCTCCTGTCCGTAGACAGTACCAGGTCTTACAATAGTTGCCGATGGAAATTCCTGTCTCACTGCTTGTTCGCCTTTCCACTTGGATTTCAAGATACTTGATCCTTCTTCTATCAGTATTGGCTTTAATTACACGTTTTAATCAATAAACATTTTTTATAAACTTTAACAAAATTTTTTTAAAAGATTTACCGTTGGATTTTCACAGCAGCCTAAAGCAGAAACGTGAATTAATCGCTCGACACCGCATTCACGAGCTATTCTGGCTATTCTCTGCGCTCCTTCGACATGAACGTCATTGTAAGTAAAGTTTTTAGTCTCCCAATCTCTTCCGATTAAATTAACTACGACATTGGAATACTTCATGCATTTTCTTATTGAGTCTTCATCGCGTAACTGAAAGGGGTGAAATAATACTTGGCCAAGATCACCGGATAATTTTAGAGGTAACACATCGTAGCAATCCCCACGGTATGGCAGTATCATCTAAAATATTTAATAAATATAATTAATTATCTACTCAAATAAATATTTAAAAATTTAATTATTTTTATGACGTTGAAATTGGTAGACACTTGACAATTTTTTAATTTTTCTTAAATAATAAATCAGAAATAATAATAATAATAATAATAATAATAATAATAAAAATTGCACTTATAATTTTTTACAATTTCTAAAGCTTAAATTTTTTAAATAAATTTTTCTTGCTATAATTTCTTAATTAAAAAATTGTCAGATATCTCTTCAGTATCGTTAATTTTTGTATCTACCTGGGTACCGATTTTTCCCAATCGATTACAAACATATCTTCCCAGGAACCCTGTGCTCCCAAAAACAGTACACACGATTCCATTGAAGGAGCTACGTCCACCTGTACCACGTTTAAGTGAAACAGTCGTTGGATTTTTAATAATCCTTAGCTCAGAAGCATCCGAATATTGACATGACGGCTGGTGTTGAATCCGAACTGGTCCAGCTGAGGATACCGCGGTCGCTGTAATTAAATTATGATTAATTAAATACCCAACGTCAAGAATAACAAAGATTATATCACACTTTTTGCATTTGTAATTTATTTGAGAGGTTTTAGATTATAGTGGACATGTCTTACGTGATAAATAAATTGTTTTCAATGCAACTCGGTTTATAGCAGCCATATCTGCTATAAAATTATTAAATGTACATGTAATATATGTACGGAAAAATTTTATTTTTTTACTTTATTATTTTTTGGAGAAGAACATTACGGGTACTACCTTCCATGCAGCACAGGCTGCACCATCTGACGGGGTATTTAGCAGTAAAAAATTTTCAGTGTCGGCAACTAATGTCAAAAAATATTCAAAAGTTAATTTTTAAAAAATTTAACAAGTGTAAATAAATTGATTATTTAATTATTTTGAGAAATTACAAATACTTACTCAGTAAATAAAATTCTATTTTATTAATAATATGCAATTTAGTTGAAAAACTAATTTATTATCAAATGTCAGCAATTTTCATTATTTAATTTATTTTTTTAAACAGAACAGCTGTTATAAAATATAAAATTAATAATAAATAAATTATTAAAATTGTTTTAATAAAAAAAACATTTTAATTTAATATTTTTATCAGAAATTTGTGACAAGTACTGCGTATAACAATTTAAAAATAAACAAAATGTCCGCTGAGCGCTGAAGTCAAAAGTGTCAGTAGTTTAAAAATCTGCCGCAAGAGGCGCTTTTAACCAATTACAGTCTTCATTTCTTGCGCATGAGCACTTGTCAGTCACGCATAAATATAGATATACCGAGTGTGTAAAACAGGACAGACATTTTGCATTTCTCGGCTGGGTTTTTAGAAAAGAGACGCCACCTAAAAGGGGAAAATTTGTTAGGCGTTGCTCCAAAATATTATTGGGTACCCAAAAACCCGCACCTGCAATGTTTACAAGGTAATTATACCGATTTAAAAATTTTTAATCATGTTAAAATTGTCAAAATCCCATTTAATTTTCTGTATTACAAATCCGTATGGGTGTGTATATGTGTAATACTTATTTTATATGTAAATGTATTTTGCAGTAATCTGTGACGTCATACTGTCGTCACCGTGGGGAGTACCCTGTAGTCGAGGTTAATAAACACCAATACGGCCTTCACGTAATTATTATGGCGGGTATGTATGATTTATTGTTTGTTTATCATTATCTAATTGCTTTCCAATCGATAAGCTAATCTTTATCAGAAGATAAATATTTAATTACAAGTAATTTAGCTAAATACTCTTTAATGAGGTAAATTAGGTTTTAAATAGTTAATATATTTTTTTTTTTTATTTTATTATTGTTTTTGCAGACTTATATGCCAAGTACACGTGTACTTACTGCCAAGAAGACATTACCGGGCTTCGGGTCAAGTGTGTTGAATGTCAATATTTTGATTTGTGTTTGCAGGTAAATATTTTTTTTTTTAATTAATTTTTATAAACAATTTATTCAAAAAAACTAATTGCTTTTTTTTTTATTTTAGTGTTTTTCTGCTGGAGCAGAAATAGGACAGCATAAAAATGATCACTCTTATCAATTTATGGTAAATTTATTCAATGTACTATGATTGACACTTGACAACTTTTTTTTAACAAAAAACTAAGTCTAAAAAATTATTAAAAAAAAAAAATTGATGAAAAAGTAGCAAATATTTAATAATTTTTAGAATATTTTAAAGAAATAAATTACTTAAAAAATTGACGTAGAAATTTAAAAAAATAAAAAATGCAATTTTTTAAAAACAATTTTCTAAAACAAATTTGTTTATTAAATAAAATTAAAAAATTGTCAACTGACTGCTATAACTAAATGTCATAAAAAATTGCATTAATAATTTTTTAGAGTTTTTAAAAATAAAATTTTTTATGCTCTAATTTAGTAGCTAAAAAATTTTTAAAAATAATCAAATGTCTTTTAAATTAAAAATTCACCTTGTAATTATTTATTCAATAATAAATTAAATAAAAATAATCAATTTTATTCTAAAAATAGGACTCGGGAACAATCAGCATTTTTAATGGTAGCAGAGGTAATTGGACAGCACGAGAACACTTGAGATTACTTGACGCAATCGAACAATTCGGTTTTGGTAATTGGGAAGACATAAGTAAACACATTGAGACCCGAACACCTGAAGGTTAATATTCTTAACAATAAATTCTATTATTTTTAATTTAATTATTAAATTGTTAATTTGTGTGCTAATAATTATTAAAAATGATCTGAACAGAGGCAAAAGAGCAATACATTGCCAGGTACCTCGAAGGAAACATAGGAAAATACACCTGGCCTCCGCGACAGAGACGTTCATCTTCCTCATCATCTACCTCAGAATGTTACACTCCAAATCTAACCGATCAAACAACAAGCCCGGACCACGGGCCGCTGTCACCTGATCTAACGTCCAAGCTGCCGCCGCTGGATATCACTCCTGAAGAAGCTCAGCAGCTTGGATACATGCCCCAGCGAGACGACTTTGAGCGTGACTACAACCACGAAGCAGAGTCGCTCGTTTCCTCGCTCTTCCTCAATCCCGCGGAGGACGACGACTTAGATATAGCGTTAAAGTTAGCCCATGTAGATATGTACACTAATAATTTAAGGGAACGGGCTAGGAGAAAAAGAGTCGTTCGTGATTATCAGCTTGTATCTAATTTTTTCTTGTCTTCGCGGAAAGGTGAGAATTCAAGTGTCAATAGTGTCTCTGGTGGCAATAAAGGAATTAAAAAGCGACAAACTAAAGAAGAAAAGTAAGCTTATATTTCTTCTTTTATTTAACTATTTTTTTTTTTTTGTTGATATTAATTTTTATTTATTTTATCAACAGAGACTTTAGAGAAAGGATGAGGATATTTGCGCAATTTTACACAGCGCAAGAACATGAACAATTCTTAAAAAATTTAGAAAAGGAACGAGATTTAAGGCTTCGGTTATCTGAATTGTATCGCTATAGGGAAAACGGAATTACCCGACACGAAGAATGCGCCCATTTTGAACAAGTAATGGCAGTACAAAATTCAAATGAAATTGTCAACAGCGATCACTGGATGGACAAAAAATCTGTAAGTTATTTTCTTGACTTTGATTAAATTTGCTACAGCAAATTGTTAGAAATTTAATAAGCGATTAAAAATTTTGCAAACACATAATACACATTAATAAAATTTAAGTTGATTGCGTAGAATTAATTTGATAAAAAATTTTTGATAATTTATGATATGTCAGTAAAATATGTGTCATAGTTTGTTTTTCGTAAATAATTTGACGAATCACATTAATTAAATTTTAATATTTTTGTGATACGTGTGTGTTTGCCACAGGCGTTTGTGAACAGATTGTATCAGTTTGCATTTCACTTAGGGCAGCAGTGGGCCCACGTCGTCCACGCCAATACACCGGCACACCTCAAAAAAAAGGTATGTTTCTTCTTTTTCAACAACTTTGAAGATATTAATATTTTTTGAGCAAATACTGACCTTAAAATTCTGGATAATTAGAGACGAAGAAAAAAGTTGCTCTTTCATCGCCCGAAAATTCACTACAAAAGCCAGCAGTACCAGCAACAGCATCGGCGAATCCGGGCAAAACAACAACAGCAGCGGCGCAAGCGGTTTTTCAATTGCAAACAACAGCAACAGCAACAGCAACAACAGCAACAGCAACAGCAACCAAAATCGGACGACGACTCCAGTCAATCAGTCGGGAGCGGGAACGGGGGAACTTGATGGAGTTTCTCCAGCTGGTCACCACCATCAGTCCGGAAGTAGTTTACTGGTTAAGCAAAAATCTTCCGTTCACAATGGCGGTGTAAATCAGCAAACCACCTGTACAAAGTCAATTAAGAATTTAGATTTACAAACAAACAGCTTAGACTTGGAAGCAGCAGCTCACCTTTTAACGCAACAAGAAAAAATACTTTGCCTTCAATTGGGTTTAAAACCCACGCAATACTTGACACAGAAAACTTTATTGCTTCAGGTGAGCTGAAATTATTTTTTTATTTAATTTTTATAAAGTTAAAGACCTAATTATGGAGACTTGCAATTTTATTTTAAGTACAAAAATTAAATGTTCTCAAAAAATAAATTTTCTTAAAATTTATAATTCAAAAATTTTATATATTAATTTATTATTAATTGTATTTATTAATTTATTAGAACAAGATGACACTGGATATCACACAATATAATCTGGATTTTTTTAGCTACTATCTGAAATTTTTTTCACCACAGATATCACTGAGTATAATTTAGGATGATATCCAGTGTCATCTTGTTCTTTCAGTGTAGAGTTAATTTGTTTTTTTAATAATAATAAAATTGCAAGTGTCAATAAATAGGCCAGTGTCAATAACTGGGTCTTACCTCAGTGAATAATTTTATAAGATAACTATTATTTAAATTTAATTTAATCATTGATTCAGGAATACTTAAGCGGTGGCAGCGGTCGGCGATCAAACTTTATGGCTCACTCAGAACCAGAAAATAAAATTCTCCATTATCTCGTATCAAATGGGTGGATTGCAGCGGCCACTTAATAGTCCATCCCGGCTGGCGTATTACTACATCATTCACTAAAGAACTAAAAAAAAAAAAAAAAAAAAAACCCACCAACGATAATAATAATAATTAAAATCTCTTCCTTGCTTGTTATAATTTTATTGCTCCACATTATAAAATATTTAAAGTTTTATTCGAGTGTAGTAATAAAAAAAATATAATTATTGGCTATACCGTATGGCGAATAGATAAAATCTTAATATTCATCATCATCATCATCATCATTGTCGTCGTTATTATCATCATCACCCGAGCTGTGTGTATGTAGTCTAAGTGTGCGTGTGGGTATGGATGGTTTAAATAATAAAATGTTTTATTGTTGAAATGTCGTATAAGTTTACAACTTTACAAGTCATTTATGATTTTTGTTCATTTTTTCTGTCTTGTAATTTTTTCCGCTTGAGCGGTATCGGGTACCGTCATCAATTATGATGCAGTTAGTACTACTATTGCTACTAGACAGACATTATTGCGCTTGTTTTTATTTTATTTATATGCCTACACGTATAATTATTTATTTTTAAATATACGCGGTGGCTAAAAAATAAAATAAAATCTAAGGACGAAAAATAAAAACATATCTGGTTGTGTAAAAAACAAACAAAGAACAATGTACTTGATTTTATTGAATGTATATGTTCAATAAATTGACGTCCTAATCGCGCAGTATTAGATTATTTATAAATATTGTAATTATTAACTATGTAATTAATATTTTTAAGATTAATGAATCACACGCACACAAGTGATATAAATAAATTAATTAATTAATGAGAAGAATAGGTTCTGCAGTGGCTTTGTAGGATGGTTAAGTTAAATAAACAAAAATATATATAAATATATACATATATCTATATATATATATATATATATATATTATTTATAAAATAATATGAATTTTAAATTTATTCATGACTTGATCAATGATCCTCCTGAAACTCACAAAATTACCCGAGCAATTGTCGGATTTTTTTTCGGATTTGCTATAGCTATTTTTTATTATGTCACTGTTGTTATTGATCTGGGATTTACACCGTACACAACTTTCACGCTGGGTGTAATTATCGTTTTACTGATGTCTATTGGCTGTGCAGTGTCCATACAAGTATGTAAAAAAAATAATTAAAACTAGCAACCTTGCAGTCACTATGTGACTTGTGAACTATAATTAAATAAAATTTTAGTTTATTAAATAATGAATTTTGTTAAATTGCACTGTACTTTCTTAAATATTGACGGTTTTAAAGATATAAGCTCATCCCGATGTTACACTCATCAAGAGCTTTCATTTAAGTACCCACTTGCATTTTTGATATATTTGTCATATATACATATTTATATATATATATATAAATATATAAAATATATGAAAAATCGATGTGGGTACTCAAATGAAAGGTCTCGATGATTGTAACATCGGGATGAGCTTATATCTTTAAAAATGTCAATAGTTCACAAGATACAAGGTCATTCCTTAAGTATGTATTTAGAGATAGAGCATTTTTCAATGCAGCTTAAATCATAATAAATTGACTATTAATAATATAGATAAATAGTGTAATTTAATTATTTTTCAGATAAGATGCGTTTGTTTTCTAACACTACCGTCCTTTTTAGGCCGTACAGGCCGCAATGTACTAAAAACTCTTACAGTCGCTTACATTATTTCTGGACCGGTGCTTAATTTGAGTTTCAATGCAAAAGAAGTTGTCCGTTCATTTGCATGTACCGCAGAAATGCACGCTAATTTAACTAAAAAGCGATTTGATTTAACGTTTGAGCCCTTCAAGCAGGTACCAATTATTTTTTATATATAATTGATAATAAAATAATTATTATTTTGAAAAAGGTGATGCTAGGAATGGAAGAAAGTAAAGCGGACATGAAAGTAATTGCTGATTCAGTGAGAAAATTAATGCTGCCCATAGTTGAAGAAGTAGAGGGTAAAGAAGCGATGAAAAAATTCAGCGAAGAAAATGATTACATTGACGAAGAAACAGAAGTGAATAAAAATAAAGAAAAATTAAAGCCTAAACGCAGAAAAAAACGGTATAAATTGGTGCTTGATACAAATCGTATTTTTAAAAGAAATCAAAAGGAAGAGACTAATGAAACAGAGGAGACTGTTTTGTCGGCGGCGGATTACGAAACAAAGTATCGAGAAAAAATAAAAGGCAAATGTGAAGATCAGCTCGCTGCGGGCTCTGAAAGATGCCGGTAATGCTAGATATTAATAAATACTCACTATTTAAATTATGTAGATTAATAATGATGATAATTCTCGAATAAATAGCTCTCTCTTTTCGTTTTTATTGAAGATATATGTTCGCAAAGTCTTATGACCAGTGTTATGATGCCGTTACATGGGCAGCTGCTTGGCTTCTGTGCTGGCCAATGAAACTTGACTTTATTTGTGACGCTGTTACTTCTCTGGGGGGTGCTAACATATGTAATCCTGATGGCAAAGTTGAAACAGGCATCGGGCAAGGATATGCCGGGCTAAAAGGTATTAATTGACGGCATTAATTATTTCTTATTTCTTCTTTATTTATTTATTTATTTTGCTGTTATAGAGGCTCAAAAATTCCTTGAAGATAACGCCAAAGACGGCCAGCTGCAGTACAAAGTTAATCTGGTTAATTCTTCAGCTCTCGTGGGCGTACGCGACGCCAAGGACTCTGCTAAGGCGATCTTACATGAGTTTACAGTTCGTCGTGATTTTTTTGTATCTTTAATGGTGATAATAAAGCGTCTCTTGGCGTTCATCGTCTTCAATATTATTCGGAGCGCACAGAAGTATCACGATCGGTATCTTGATGTTATTGACCACGACAATCGTTACGTTACTAAGTTCTTCAAGAAAATAGATGCAAGACGTGCGCTAAGAGGGAGTTCTACTCTTTTGCCATTGAAAAAAATTGAACGACCGAAATACATTGATCCTTACTCTATTAAATTAACCACGAGAGAACGAAGGAATTTAATTGCTAGATCGCTTAGATTGGTTTTTGAAGTTTTTACAACCACTATTTTTATTATGCTTGATTATCTTTTGTATTACACTTTGTTTCTTGTTAATAAGCACGGTAAAATTGAAATTACTCAGGTAATTTTATTTAGTTTTTTATCCAAGATTTTTGCCGGGAATATTTTTTTTAAGATCAATAAAAAAAGCCCCAATTTCAAAATTAAGATTTACCTATATATATATATATATATATATATATATATATATATATATATA